TAGTTGGTATGAAACTGTTTTGTTTCTGCATTCATTGATCTATGCTGATCTAAGTGTAACCATCAATATTGTTTTGCTTTTACCAGGATTTAAGGGTTTTCTAGCAAAACTACTGGTAGTAGTGTTCTCTGTCTCTTTCTGTCTCTGTCCACTCAAATTGGGTTTAACTCTTCATTGTTTTGCGGCGAAACAACAGATTTATTTTGTAACCGTGTCGGAATCAGGTTTTCTTGTCACACGTATTGATGCTGTTTTGTGGGGTTTTGAACAGGACTGGGCCAAACCAGGTGATATAAATAATCTGGGTATGCAGTGGAATGAGCCAACAGTTGCAAGTAAATCATTTGCAAGACACCTGCTGAAGACGTTCTTGGACCCAGAAATGGACAAACTAAGAAAGTTCATCCTAGGGGAGTCTAACAAGGTATCATTCTTTCTGTTATTACCCAGTACTACAATTTTCACTCTACAAATATGGGCATCTGTGAGTAGAGTAGAATTGAGTCTGTAAGGCTTAGCCAATGAGATGTGAAGTATGAGCTTCAGCTGACTTTTGTAGGGATTAGTGAATAATCGGTATTCTAGTAGTACCATGTTTATCTGAAACATTGTCCACGCCATAATATCACCCATGAGTTGTGTTTCAGCAAAAAATAAATAAATTCAGTTAAACTATAGCGTTGATAAAAAATAATTGTTATTTCTAGAGCAAGAATTAATAGCATACAAATTGGTATTGATGGGTAATCTTTCAGGGCCTTCATTCAGATAGATACAGTATAGTGCAGTGAGTGTGAATGAATTTGTCAGACCCCAACCATGAAACAATATAAACAAGCTGTCTTTCTAAATTAAAATAAATATTATGACAGACATATTTGTTACGTCATTGAAACTTCATTTTCTATGCAGATGGTACTGTTGGTATATTGTTGTATTTTGTTCTTTTTTCACAGAGACGAGTTAAAACAGAGTTTATATATTGTATTTGTATGTATAATCGGTTCTGGTGCTATGCTACCATTCTGGCAAGGAGAACCACTAGACTCACAGATGTAAGTAATAATGAACCATCTACTCATTAACAAACCACTACGCTCTATGTAGAGAATTAATTGTAGTCCTATTATCAACACCTTACTGTTTTGTACACCAAATCAGTAACAAGTTTACTGTGTCTCAAGATTGAAACATGTTGAGTCAAGCCAACATGAACAGGAGATGTCAGACTTATACTTATTTACTTCCTTCAATCATATAAATTGCCATATGGTCCTTCAGTTAACTCCATAATATGTTCAATTTATTTTCAATATAGCCAATTATTATGCCTGCGTTTTATAAAAAATGTAGCTGATCATCTTGATCATTCTTGAGTCATTGAAAAATGGTTTGATTTAAACAAATTCTAATCATGTGACAATACTGAGACATACACAGCTGTTTTGGTGTACAAAAAATATGGCAGTGACAGTTGTACTCTGGGCAAGGCAAATTGTGTTTATAGTTTAACTATGTTTGCCTTGAAGAAAATTTGACTCTCAATATTCCAAGTAATTTCGTGGAAGCTGCAACTCGGTGTGCCGCTATGCCACAGAATGGCTTTTGTTTGAGAAGTGCAGCCATCTAAAGAATTTTAATGCACAGGATAACATTAAATTAGTTTTAAAATAATTTATACAAATCATGGAAAAGTACAGTTGTAATATACCCTCTATTGCAGAGTTGAATCTCAAGTGAATTTAACTACTTTCCCTAACTTGATAAATAATCTGGATGAAGAGGAACGTCAAAACAAGCGAAGAGAAGAGGTCTCCAATTTAATGCATGATTTACTACAGTATGTCTTAACACACTGTGAAGATGATACCAAGTCATTGTTTCTCATTATCAAGGTATGTGCAGAGATTTCCACCATTGATAATGATTTGAGTTACCATAATGTTACCCTTGCACCCGATGATACGTAACCAGACAGGGATGAAACTCATCATCAGATGTTAATGATGGTGTTGATAAAATTGCATAAAACCATAAAATCTTATAAAGTTGCATTGATTCAATTGAAAACCGAAAATTCCCCATTTCTCATGTGTAGATGGTCCAATAGAAGTTGCATCCCCTCTATTGCATTGTACCATTTTAATAGAAGCTTCTAATACAGATTTTACAGTTCTTGTATTGAAAAGTAAAAAGCAGACAATTTCGCTGACATGTGTTTCACTATGTTTACTATGAACCATTGTAATTTTAAGAGAGACGAATGCCAGTCCAACTCAATCCCACACTCCATGACCAAAAGCACAAGGATTGACATTACATTTTGCAAAATTTCATTCTTGTAAATCAAATGGTCGTATCTATTTAATGCGTTTTATTTTGATTTGATCATAGATTTATTCTGCGCTGCTAACATACAATGGTGCCGTAAAAGAGGAATTTGACACCAGGTGGAAAAGTTTTACTCTTGTTAAGAAAGCTATGGAAGACACGGTAAGAGTCTATGGCCGAGTTGTTGCAAATTAGTGCTGTTAACATGGGTACTATAGCATTTTCATGCAAACACACCAAAATTAAGACAAGTCGGTAAATACCAATCCACAAAGACAATCTATTGACTTACAGCGTGTATTTAATGGACATGCTATTTTTATGTATTTTTCGTGTTGTCACTATCGACTCACTGCTTGTTCTTCCTGTCTATTATGTGGTCATTATTGTTTTGCTGGGCCTACTTTCTGTCCATCAAGAAGTGAATACTTCCTTTCCACCATGTTATCAGCATTGTCTCACTGACTATACTTTCTGGCCACCACTGTCCATCGTATCATCAGTATTGTCCACCATGTGGTCACTTTTGTCTCACCAACCAAACTTCCTGTCCACCATGTTCACTATTGCCTCACTGACTGTATTTTCTGTCCACCACTGTCATCATTGTCCACCATGTGGACACGTAACTGACCTTAATTGGGCTTTAATTGTGCATGCAGTACTGACCATTTGTTTGGGGGGGCACCATTTAATTTCAATACCCTGGCTATGTGTTAAAATTGGTCTGAATTCCTTTTGGTTCAGTATGTAACTGTCTGTTCAATCTTGGGCTTTAATTATGCATGCACGCCATGGTACTGACCCTGTTTTTTTTTTGTTTTGTTTTTTTTTGGGGGGGGGGGGGGGTACCATGTAATTACAATACCCTGGCTATGTGTTAAAATTGGTCTGAATTAACTTTGGCAGGCCAGGTACACCTACAGACATTACTGTGGACATTCAATTCTTTTAACGTAAATTATTGCAAATTTTTGGTCAGAGCGCCCTCTAGCATTTGTTGGGAGTCATCTTTATTTGGAATGCTCTGATTGGATGGAAGTTTGAGCCGAGCAAGGTGTGATAAGAATTGGCCTGTTGTTTTGCTGGCCTAAAGAATAATAAATGTAACTGGTAATACATAAGTTTTCTGATATGTTTTTTTTTTTATCTTTATCAACCATATTAGCTTGTGGGTATGCACTGATAAATTCTATTTGTTTGTTCTTCAATAATTGCAGCTGCACCAGAAAAAACAGCACATTAGAGCCCTATTGATTGACAGGGTACAGCTACAGCATGAAATGAGGATATTGGAAAGATCTATTGCTCCTTACACTGAACTTGACAGGAAACTTATGAAGGATTTATTAAGACTTTCAACAAGTATGTACAGTGAGGTAAGTCTAATGTCTATTTCATTTAATGTACTCCAAGCAGACATGGATAGAGAATTTCAATGAGGAAACATCATCAGAGGACATGTGTCAAGGAGACATGGATCAGGGGATACTGTGTTTGGAAACTGAGTACGTACACACAACATGCGTAATTAAAGTTAAGAAAATATGGCTCTTGTACCATGGTCATTCCATGTCTTCTCTGTCTATGTATTTTGTTATACAAGAATAGAGGTATTTTCAGTGACTTGTTTGTAGATCATACAAATAATTCATAGATTTGCTGCCAGGTAATGTGTTGAACAGAGTGTGAACTGTTTGAAACAGCATGTCATATATGGTGCACTTTAAACTAATAAAGAAGGCTTTACAATTGTGGTACTGATTTTTGACTCATAAGTGATACAACCTTTATATGTATTTCCTTCCTCACTTCAATGAAGACAAATTTTAGGGAATTATATTATCGTACTTCCCCAAGTATAAGCCCAGGGGCCTGAACATGTTTAATCAAGAAAATTAGGGGGTGGCCTTATACTCGAGGACCACCTCAAGAAAGAAAATTTTCTGGTGGGTTGAAAATTGTAACCATCTTCCCAACCACGAAAAATTATCCAAATTACATTTTTCGTTCACAGTGCCAGTCTCGGACAAATATTACTTCTTTTTTAAGAAAAAAATGCCAAACGAGTCGTCGTTGATTTGCACAACACTTTTTACAATGAAGAAACAAACATGTTCATAAAAATACACACATTTTATTACAACACGGTTTACATACCGTCTGCAAAAATGGGTAGGGTCTGTGGGAAAAAAGTCAAAGGCGAGATCTTTATCATTATTTTTGTTGTGGAATGTTTTCTGATTATTGACGAATTAATTTTTTCAACGCAATGTGGAAGTGAATTACCACAATGTTAAAATGCGATCTGTTAACACTGATTTCTACATAAAAACAGTGATTTTTTTCCCTAAAAGCTGTTGATTCGCAATTTTTAAAAGGTAAACTGAGGGTAGAGGAAGTATTTAAACCCTTCACGGTCACCAACAAGTCGTGTCGAAGAATAGTTTACTCGTTCACACCCCATTCACATTAGTCACAATGGACACGATTATTCGGAAAAATAAAGCAATGTTCTCTGACCAGGTTTCATGACTTGACGATTACACTTTGCCGTTTTGAAAACTACTTCTCAGAAGAAATATGGATTACCGGTACTTCAGTATTGCAACATTAGGGTTCATCCTGAGTAAATAACAGAATAGAAAAGGTGCGAACCATGTTCTGAACGTTCGCCCCCATGCACTCTGAAATTAATGCGAGTTTTCTCGTAAAAGCAGGAACCAAGCTACCGTACCAATCATGATTTTTATGTAATGAAATATACTTTTTACATGCATATTTTAATAAATGTCGTCAACGCCTGGTAAAAACATCCTGAGCCTATACTCGGGGATGCCCTCAACTCGTTAAATGTCTAAAAACAGAGGGGTGGGCTTATACTCGGGGAGGGGCTAATGCTCGGGGAAGTACGATAGTAACGAATGTTGTCAACATAGTGCGTAAGTTTCATGTATATGCTCCAATCTTGGCAAGCTCTCTGCATGTTCACAGATTAGATTATGTCTTAATAAGTATATCTCTTATTGCTTACTGTTATTATCTGTTACAGGTGCGGAGTAGAGCTCAGAATGTGCTGTTTATGGGTATGCGCTTCTATGCTTATTGTAGAAGAGATCTTTTACCTGGAATCTTAGATAATCTAAGAAATGAACCAGGGATTTCACATCAACAATTCAAAGTAAGTTAACATCTCAATGATATAGTGTTTTCATAATGACTCATGCGCACAGAGTCTAGTGTAGAGCTGGTATCTAGAGTCAGAGCTGGTATCTAGTGTTTGGCAAATTTCTGTATATTTTATTTTGATCCCTTGTCGAAAAGAGTGATAATGCTGGATGGCCGCATTAGCAGCATGCGAGGGGTGGACACAGCGAAGAATTTATAGTGGCAACACTCAATAGAAATATTAGAATCTTCTATCAAATGTTATATTCAATATGAATATTAATACAATGTATAGAGTATATGTACATGTAGATAAAACTAGATGAGAAAGAATCATGTGTGGACCCTATTATCCCAGTGGTACCATTCCACTATGATGTGGGGAGAACCTTTTGAGACACTTTTAATTCCTGCTCAATAAATATCCAATTTGAAATGGCTTTTGCTTTCCAAGTACAGTAAATTAAAAGATGTGGCATTGTCTGTCTTGACCATTCCATGACTTTTCCTGATAAGTAATCGAAGATAATCACAAATAGGTTGTCGATATAGGTATCAGCGTCCAGCCTTGTTAGTCAGTATATTCATACTTTCAAACAATATTTGTAACTGTATATACTGATTACGGTAAAGTTTGATCACACGCTAGTTGTAAAATACACTGCAATGTGCGAACCAACCAACCTACCTTTCGTATTTCATCTGTGTTAACCTTTTCACCACCTGTTCCCTTTTTTCATCACAAATAGTCCCATTAATAGTCTGCACTTTTCTTAAGAAGAATGAGACAAAAATAGCCAAATTTATTAAGTAAAAACTGAAAATTGATCCAAATTGTGTCTGTTGGCTCAAAAATTAGGGTTCATTTCCAGAAATATTGAAAAATATAAGAAAAATGTGCAGAAAAATTGTGGGCGAGAAAGTCTTGTGGTGAAAAGATTAATTTATTAAATCATAGCTTGAAATCTTACTTTGATTGAAATCTTACTTTGATTGAAATCTTACTTTGATTGAAATCAAAATTTTAGTAACATGTCTTTATCAGAAATGCTGCCTTGAAACAAGTTTGCTGAAATAGAGAGTTACTAGTACTCAGTCACCCAATGTTTATAGTTCAGTGCAAAGAATGTTTCTGGTCAATGTGTTTTCCAAAATCAATCTGAGCACATCTTTTTGAGAATAAGAAATATTTATTCATATATTCATTCATTCATTCATTCATTCACTCATTCTATATGCTGTGAATCATCTGTTGTTGCTTCTATCCTAAGCCTTG